TAAAAAACTAATAGTTCTTGGTCTTCAACAAGCGAATGGCCCACATAATGCTGAATATATTATATTAGTTTCGAAAAAATATAAAATCAATATGATTTCGATATATATAAAGTTGATGGTTATGTGAGTGATGGTGGTAAAGCTTTTCTTAGAGCTTTGCTAAATTCTGAACTAGAGATCAGTACTTGGATTAAAGAAGATTTTTGGGAAGACTGGGGAAGACTTGTTTGAAAATGATAGCAATGAGAATGACCAGGAACTGAAAGAAGATTTTTGGGAAGAGTTGTTTGAAAATGATAGCAATGAGAATGACCAGGAACTGAAAGATTCACCTGAAAATAAAATTGATCCTGAAATAAACCAATTGCTAACTGAGGAAATAAATCCAATTCAAAATGACATTAAGTTATCTAATGAGAATGCTGAGGTTGATGCTACTGGAGTTGATGATGCTAAAAATTATGAATTTGGGGATCATAGTATTATAAATCAATTAGAGTTTGAACTCTGCAGCAGAAAAGTCCCTCAATTTGCATGAGCAAACCACAAATTTAATATTTTAAAAATTGTTTTGAAACAGTAAAATGTCCAGTTACTCAAGCAGAGATTGAATTCTATTTATCAATGTTGCTCCCAGCATATAGATTTACACTTTTGAATCAGAGAAATCATGTACATATCAGTGATTTGGTACCAAGTTTACATTTGTTAGAAATGCAATATGAGGAAACAGCTAAAAAAGAAAAAAAAAAAATTGCGAACTGTAGATAAAAAATGTAAAAAAAGCAGTTTGATTATGAACTCTGCTATTTATGCAGCTGCTGCAGTTTTAAGTGTTTCTAAACTTAACCTCTGGTATTAAAGGCTGATAACGAAAGCCACAGTCAATTTAGGCCTAAACTCATTAGTAAACTTAGCAATTAAATTTAATAAAAAATGTAAAAAAATTGATCTGACTGCAAATGCTAAAAATAATTTCATTCAAAAAAAATAAAAAAGTAATTAATAGAAAAAGAGCTGGCAACATGACAGATGAAACATTAATAAATCGTGCTTTTTTAAAAAATAACTTAGCCATACTCAATGTACTGGCTGAAAAAAAATATTTTCTTTATTCATTTGTAAATAATTTCCTTGATTATTGTTTTGTTTATGATTTGCAATTACATTTTTGAAAACTATAATTCATTTATACTTTTATTTTCTTATTTCGTTTTTCTGTTTGAAATGCATTGAAGTAAAACATCATATTACTGAAAAACAAAATTATATTTTACACTTAAAAAAATTGCGTATTTTTATGCAAAATACTTAAAAATAATATGAACGACGAGTTGCTTATTAAGTATTCTACTCAACAAAAATGGGTATGATAAATTACATACTGAGTATTATATTCCAAAAAAATGCATATGTTGAGTTGTGTATTGAGTACCATGTGAGTATTATACTCAATATGCAATACGCAAAATAAAAAATGCGTTCTGACAAAGACATATATATTATTTTTAAGAATGACAACTTTTAAAATAAAAATTTGAAAAATTTAGCTTGGGGCCCTAATAACTCTGGACCCTTCCATAGTTGCGTGCCCTGCGGATCCTTCACTATGCTACTGATGCTATTACACTAACCTGTACCAGTACAAGACAAGCGCTTAAGTAACAATCTTCAGAACACAAACTTGTAGGTGACCCACACTTCAGCATCAATTGACAGAAAACATACTATTACGTCTACTGCATACAATGTGTTAATTTTAGCATTAATTACTCAAGAGTCTTTATTGGTAATTATTTAAAATGAAAAAATATTAAAAATAGGTTCGACCAGGAAAGCATGCAAAGCATTTCACACCATAATATAACCACACAAATACTATTTGATTATAAAGACTTGACCACATCTGTTAATATGCATTGGAATTTTGTATACATTTAAAAAAAAACTTATCCTAAAAGAAGCAAATAAATCTTTATTAAAAAAAAAAAACGAAAAAAAAGATAAAAATAACTTAACTAAAACTAAAATCAAATAAATAAATGTAAAAACTAAAAAAATAATAAACTATAAAAATTATTGAAATTACGTTTGGAATAAATAACTTGGAATCATTTTTTCTATACTAACTTTTTTATAATATAATAAAAATGCAAAACACTTATAAAATAAGTAGCAACTTACATCTAACAATTGTTTAATAATAATAATTAATAATAATGCGCACATTTAAAAGATAAAAAAAAAAGCTTCTTAACAATTCTTTAAATTTATTTAAAAACATAATAAAAAATACATACTTGTATAAATATATAAAGATATATATAATATTCATTAATACTTTTATATATAATCATCAGCAATAATTTGCTACTTTATTTAAATGCGTTTCAATAATAAAAAAACGTAAGTAAAGATCAAAACTATTTAATTTAAATGGCTTTTTAAATAGTTTGTCTTTTTTTCTTCTTCTCAACAAAATTCTTTTAATTTGAGTGTATTACTGTAATAATATAAAGTTTATTAAAGAGACATATATATATATATATATATATATATATATATATATATATATATATATATATATCAGGCTTGGTCGGGAAGCGGGAGCGATCGCTCTCGAATACTGACCACGTAAATTATATTTAGTTGCGAAAAACTGGCCAGGTTTTTTAGTCGTTTTGAGAACATTTAAGTTTATTTACGAAACAAAAAATTTTTGTTTTACAAACATACATGGAAACATAAAAAACTTAAACATCTTGGTGTGAAAGAATAAAAAGAATATTTGCGAACACTAAAAACCCACCAAATTAACAAACAAACTAATTCTATTGGTTCAAAAAATATGCTAACTAAGCAAAATAAAATTTTGGAACATTTTGTTGAAATGTTTTAGAAATTATATTAATCACGATTTGTTACGTTTTCAGATTTCTAGCAAAAATCGTTTTAAGAATATATATAAATTGTTTACAAAAATAAATGTTTTAAATATATATTAATTAAAATGTCAAAATTTTAAAAGTTTATTATAAATTATAGATTTTATTTGTACATTCTTATTTTTTGTTGATCTGTTTTTTATCGTAAAAGATCAACAAAATTCCATTTTATTAATAAATTAATAAAATGTAATTTTGTTGATCTGTTTTTTATCGTAATGTATCTTTTAAACAAAGACTTACAAAAATAATTGCGTTTTCAATAAAGTTATAATCGTTAAAGTTAATAAAACTAATCATGTAACGCATATAAGAAGTTTCTGGTTACTAAACACAAACAACGCATACAAAGTAACTCGCGGATGAACAAGCACCCACCTGAGGTCACGACAGAACGTAAATATATATAGCAAATAATTAGATATAAAAAAAAAGTTACTAGATATTGGTTTACTAACTCTAATTATTTTCGCTTCATTTGCCATTCTTAAAAACTCGTTTTTAAGAATGGCAAATGAAGCTTAAAAACTTTTTTCTGCTTTAATTACTAATTAAATTACTAACTAATTAAAAAGCCCACTCACTAAACATCATCAGCGATATTGTGAAGCATTTTCGCTTCCTCGTCATATTTTTAACTTTTTTAGTTGCTTCTATCTTGTTAATTTAATGTCTATAGTAATTCAATGATTTAATTATTTCATTTGTTTATCTTACTAAGAAGAATTGCTTCAAATATGTTAAACTTTTCAAACTACGCGAAACATAAAATAGGTGTTAATAAAAAATAGCTTTTTTTTTTATAAAATAATTTAGCTTAAATAAAACTAAAACTTGCAAACTTTGTTTAATAAAGAATATTTGTTTCCTTTTTAAACAATCGTAAGACGTTACTTTAGATAAAAAACATCGCTTAATTTTATAAAAAAAATTTTGTAATTGTCTCTCATCGGTCCAATTATTCTTATGCGCTTTTTTTTTTTGCTTGTTAAAATGTTCTCAAAACGACTAAAAAATCTGGCCAGCTTTTCGCAACTAAATATTATTTACGTGATCAGCAATCAAGAGCGATTGCTCCCGCTTCCCGACCAAGCCTGATATATATATTTAATTTAAAAGGCCAGAGCAATTGTTTATAATCATTTTAAATTGACTAAAACTACCTCATACGCCAAAAATAGGAGAAACACATGCCATTTAATACAAAGACATGTAAACAATTTCCTAACCCTTCAGCCAATATAAAATGTGCAATAGCCACACATAGTATTACAGAACTTACTAATGACCTAATATGAGTTTGGCTACTTTCTCAGCTTCCACAAGCAACTCATTTTTCATAAGTTATCAGCTTAACAGTATTTTTTGTTTCAGAGATTTGATCTTATTTAAAAGAAAATGATACTTAAATATTACACAGTAATGTTAGTGATGTAACGTAAGTATTACAATAACCTTCTTCTTAGTCATTCTACTTAGATAAAACTTTTTTTTTTTTTTGTATTAGGAATTAAAGTAACAACAACTTGTAAAAATATTCAACATGATTCACAATACCATTTCGCAGAAATTTGCCTTAAAAATTGAAACATTTTTTTATTTGGTTTTTCTGCACATAAGTTAAATAACATTTTTAATCAGAGTTTGCTTTTTTATTGCCAGAATCAAAAGTTTAAAATATTATATATATTGTTATTTATTTTATTGTTATTTTGTTTGCCTATATTGTTCTAATTTAAATCATAAGTAAAAATAAATCAAAAGTTTAAAATATTGTTCTTCAGACCAACATTTTTCAAATAAGATTGCTAAAAGTTTAATTAAGGGTTTCAATGAAAAAATATTTGATAAAGTTGTTGCAAATGTAATGTAAGTTACGCTTACGTTATAACACGCCATATAAATGTGCTTGATTAAAGAATAAATCTTTAATGTTTTTAAAAATTTTATCTACTGGTTAAATAACAACAAATGGTTTTTTTTTGCAATTGACATTTATTAAAATTTATGTAAATCACTACAGTACACTAAAACATTTTAATACAAAATAATAACCTTTGTGAATGTCATAGGATGCATTTTCTTTACCATTTTCAACAACTTTACATGGAAAGGTTAATCTATGTTTAGAAAGATAAAAAAATTTTGTTAAACCTCTTTTCTTATATAAATGAATTATTATACAATTATTTTCATACAAAAACAAACACAGAAAAAAAACACAAAAAACAACATAAGAAACAAACAGTATCCTTATAGATTTAAAAATATATATATATAAATTGACAAAATAAAATTAAAACTCTTGTTAGTTTTATCTTTATACTAGTAATTAAAGTAACCATAGTAACTATATTTAATAGTTTTAGAAATGATAGTTTGATTCATCTTACAATTTTTTTAGATTTTTTAACCAAAAACTGTATAAGGATGAATTTAGTTTAGTAAATACAACTTAGTGAAAATTTACTCAAGTAAATGACATAAGTTACATACATAGAAAACACAAAAAATAGGGTTACATTTGGTAAACCAAAAAACGAAGAAAACTAAATAATTATTTAGAGAAAAAAAGAGAAAAATGAGAAATTATTGCTATTATTATAAATATATACAAAAGTCACAGGTTTGCAAAAGTTTTTAAACATTTATTTGGAGAAAAAAAGAGAAAACTGAGAAATTATTTAAAGAAGAAAAGTATAAAAAAAGAAAATACTTATCAAATCAAATGTTAAAATAATTGTATTAATATAAAAAGTATAAGAATAAACAAACATTTAACAAATAATTAATCTTTAATTATTTTATCTGCCAGCAAAAAGAAGCACCAATAAATTTATTTTTAAAAACTATTTAGAATTATAAAAAGAGTTTGATTCTATTGTATTTAACTTTCTGAGTAAAGCATAAAATTAGTTATTCAAAAAAATTTAGCATTAGCAAGTCAACATTTGAAAAGTTTATTTTCATGTTTATCTTCTGTGGATTTACACTCGTATGATTTTGAAATGTTTTCATAAGACCATTTTCTGTTTAAAATAAAACATTATTAAAAAATGTTTTATAACCTGTAACTCTTCCTAGAATTAACCTATTTGCATACTAGTGCGCATTTTTATTGTGATATACCACTAGGAAAATTGCAACCTAAGTTTACTAGCTCCTCTTACCTTAACCTATAAATAAATTGAAGATTTTTCTTCTAAGTAAGCTGCCTTCACTGCAACTAAGAAGCAGTGTAGGAACAGTCACCGCAACTAAGAAGCAGTGTAGGAACATTCACCGCAACTAAGAAGCAGTGTAGGAACAACCATAGGAAAAGTCATGATCAGTTTAATGTCATAATCCAGGATAGAATAAGAGAGAATAAAAATAGAAATTTAAAAAAAAATTTCAAGAAACATCCATGTTAGCAAAACAATGCAATATCGGCAAATCACAGCTATTGATATTAATAGATTTAAACAAATACAAATGTAACCATTAAATCAAAGGACCAAACTAAAGCACATCCACTTCATACTACACACTGTACATTATCATAATGCAGTCTTCTTAATACAGAATACATAAAAAAAAAAAAATTTGTCAGCAGTGTAACAAGCGAGACCAAACATGCTATTAAAGTCTTATAAAACTAACTTTAAATACTAAACTGAATTAATAATTTTTTAAAAATCTTAATTTTACATACCTAAGAAAGTAGGGTTTCACATAGAATTTGAAGTCATATTCATCAATATATATTTCTACCTCATTTGCCTGAAACAGAAAAATAAAATAATAAAAAAATAAAAAAGATAAGTTTTTATAAAAAAAAATTTTAAAAATTATCAAACATAACTATCTTAAAATTTTTTTAAGATAGTAATGTTTAAAGTTACCAAGGTACCCAAAGAAGACCAAACAATTTTATCACTGAAAAAGAACATTTAACCAGGCAGTTCACAACTCCATTCTTACCAAAGTCAGCCAGAACTCTAACCACTGCAGCACGGCTCCTTAAAATTCATTCCTAACTAGTAAATAACTGGAGTTTATATTTGAACAAGGTCAAGTTATTAAAAAAGGCTTAGTTTTAAAAAAGATGACTAAGACCAGTTGCATTCGAGGCTGAGTTTGCAACCCCCATAAGTATTTAAAACATATATATATATATATATATATATATATATATATATATATATATATATATATATATATGCAATTCTCTGAATTAGAAAAAATAAGGTCAGTAATAATTTGCCGACCTTAGTCTGTGTGAGGTCGGCAGAAAAAATGTGAAATAAAGGTTCGACCATAAAACATAGAAACGAGGTTAGCAATTTTTTTCCAAATTCAAGCACTTCTAGGTCAGCAGTTAGGTCCAACACTAATTCCGAGGGTTGTATATGCATATATATATATATATATATATATATATATATATATATATGCATATACAACCCTCTAGAAAAAATGAGCCACTTGTTGAAAGGTAGAAAAAAGTTATGAGGCTTTAAAGTAGTCTGTTTTTACAATTCTTAAATTGAGGAGGGTTTATAAAGCTATATTTTCTGAACCGTTGCACTTTGAAGTCTGAAATTTCAAATTTAACTTATCTACATAATGTAGAAAATGATATGTAAAAATCAGCGAAATCTGAGATGGTGCCCAACAGGCCATTGGTTGAAATATAATGATTTGACCCGTGATTATGATTCTGTGATGTTTATATATATACATATATATATATATATATATATATATATATATATATATATATATATATATATATATATATATATATATATATACATATATATATATATATATATATATATATAATATATATATATATATATATATATATATATATATATATATATATATATATATATATATATATATATATATATATATATATATATATATATATGCATATATATGCATATACAGTGTTTTCTGGGTAGTTCTGTGTTAAAAATACTGGTTTTTGTTAACTTGTATCATATTAAAAAAAATTTATAGCCTCCTCAACTTCGAAAAAAAATTGAAAAATGCTAAAAAAGGCCAAAATGCAGTTAACTTTAGTAGTTTTCAATTCATTAACAAATTTAATCTATCTACATAATGTAGAAAATGATATGTAAAAATCAGCAAAATCTGAGATGGTGCCCCACAGGCCATTGGTTGAAATATAATGATTTGACCCCACAATCATTACCATTACCATTATCATCATAATCACTTTAGCCTCCCAAATTTATGCTGTTTTTTAAAAGAAACAATCTTGCGCATCTTCTTTCCTATTTCTACCATTTTCTCTTGAAGCTGCTACCTGCCTACACGCTGATACATATCTTCACTGCTTAACAATCATCTACATTTTCATTGCTTAACATACTTAAGAAAAGTTCAAACATTTAAAAAAATGATTTTTTTAATTATTAAAGAATATTGTATTTTAAAGGGTGAAACTACTTTTATAGTAAATTCTAGTTTGTCAACTATTTATACTACAATATATGACAGCAAAACATACCAGAAGAAAAACAGTAAAAAATGTGAACAAAAATGGCATCAGTTTTTCTATTCTCGTGCAAATTCTAAGAAGTTTAATTTGAAAACTATTTGGAATTGAAGCCAGAAATAAGTGGATGAGTTGGTCATGCAAGTCTAACTTCTTTTGCAGAAAATATTAGGGAAACAACTTTGCTTATGACATCTGATATGTAACTATTCCAAAACTCTATTCCATTTTTGATGACTTCTTAGAATTAAAGCTTTTTTATTTTTATATTAATAGTTTTAATTAATTTTGTAAACTATTTTTGTTTTATTTTGGTTAGTTGAGTAATGTAATTTTTTTTTTTAAGATGCTTTTGATATTTTATGACTCTGAAAAAAAAACACCATTTTTTTTATAACCCAGAACAGTTCATCAGTTGATCCAGAACAGTTCATCAAAATAATTGTAAAATTTATTCATAAAAAAAAAAGAATAATAAAACAAAATCTTTAAAATTATTTTAAAGATTTTGTTTTGTTGTTCTTTTTTTAAAAAAAATACGAAACTGATTTTTTTTAAAAAAAAAATCAAATGCTTTTGTTTTAAACATTGAAATAAAAAACTAGATGTCTCCTGATAAAATCAAATTAATAGGTTGAATGCATCTTTATTTATAAGTCTATTTCCTCACTTATAGTAAGAACAACACATAGTGCAACTATGGGACAGACAGATTAGCAGCTAGGTCCAACAACATTCAAAATAAATTTTTGGATCTTGTGTGTTAAAAAAACAGAGCCTAACAGAAGAACCAACACAAACATGCTATTCATCAATATGGAAATATCAACAATATTGTAAAAACTGTTAGTAACAATTTTCAATAGGTTTTTATAACTGAGTTTTGTCTGGGTTGAAATTGATCCCAAAACACAATTTACATTTTTTATCCAACACATTTACATTCTTCATGCACATTATTACTTAACTTTACAGAAAACAAAGGGGTTGATTTGTAACCTTTTTCAAAAATTTATGACAAAAATGGTATTAAAGGTCATATTACTTGAATTCAAACTTGCAATATGCCGTATAACATCATATTCTAGGTCAACAGAAATTCTTTTTTTTTTTTTTTTTAAGCAAAGGGCTTCTACCAAAAAATAAAAAATTATCTTTACTTTTTAATTCCAAAACCAAAAAACAGCAATTAAAATACTTTTTCTGAACTTTTGTTTAAATAAACCATTTATTAAACTTCAGAAAGAAAATTGAATCTAAAAATTAAAGATATTTTTAAAAACTAAAGATATTTTCAATTTTGTAAAGTAGAACATTGGAGGCAAAGAAAAAGAGAGGCAAAGAAAAAGAATTTCAACAGATTCTAATAATTTAAAAAATTTGTTCAAATCTAAATAAACAAATAAACAATATTTTAAAAAACAATAAATTCTTACTTTCACATAAGGAGCTTTAATAGTGAGAATCAAGAAATCATTGTTCTGTCGAAGTTCAAAACTAGGAGTCAGCATTTTTGTAAAATAAATACTATAATAAATAAAAT